TGGAATTCCCCTATGGGGCCTGAGTGTGTGTTCCATATGTGCTTGATCCAGTGATCCGGGGTAATAATGTTCAGCGCATAGAGAAGTTTGATATGCGCTATATAAGTATACAATAATAATAATAATAAGATATTGATTCCCACGATAAACTACGGTACCGTATTCTTTCTGGGATAAGACTACTTCGGTGCCGACAAATTTGGCTGCGCGGAATTTGTATGGCACGCCATATGGGCATTATCCCTCACCAGCTATTTGATTGTAGCAAGGTGGATTCTCGCGATGAACTAAATAGCAACCTATTCTTTTTGTCGGACATCCGGGATATTCTGTTACCTAACCTAATTTAAATATGACCCAACTTCCACTGGAGTGAAAACTTTTTGCTGGAGTGCGTGCATAACACTGGGAGAGATACGTTATGTAGGCTAGTAAATAGATAGTTTTCTCGAAATTGTTTCAGTATTAAACATGCCAGGCAATTGTGAAGCAGTAGGTTGTACAAATCACACACTTTTAAAAAATAAGCCGTCATTTCACCGATTTCCTAAAGGTCCTGATCGTAGAAAGAAGTGGACAATGTACTACGAAAATTGAATCGTGATGTTTCAGAAAGGACGCCGTCTACCACTGCTAGGATATGTGGAGAACATTTTATTAATAGTAGGCCTAGAAAAAACATTTATTTAATTTTGCTGAATATATAATTCTCCGAAAATATACTGTATGACCTTTTGGTTATTAGTCCTACATACATCTAGAAACAAACACATAAATAACTATATGGTTAGGTTTACACGATGATGTACTACTTACTATACACAAGTCTGGCCCTTTGCCTTGGCTTCCTAGCCTTGCCTGAGTTGGGATATCATGGAGAGTGATTAGACAGGCAGAGGGTCAAGGCTCATTAGTTTAATTTTTAGAGAAGTATGTGTTTTTTGATCTAATAATTTTTAGAAACTCTGAAATGAAATTTCATTTAATGTAGACCCTATCATTGTTAAATATTTACATTATTTTTTTTCTAGGTAAGCCCAATCATACAGACCCTGCACATCCCGATTATATACCATCTGTGTTTAAGCACAAGAAAGCAAACAATAGTTTAACAACATGCATCTCAATGAGCAACATCTTGAAATTTACAAAAAAATAAACAAAGAAATAGGTCTCACAGCAAATTTTGTAACCTAATTAAATGAAATAATATAAAAAGCATCTCCTTTACTACCATTTATTTACTGAACAACCCAGTCGGCTTCTGACCTACTTTTGTTCGTATCGGCGGCGTACAAAGAGTCAAATGACTTTGTGTCTGGCAACCTCGGTGTCTATGTCTACCAGGAGGAGCCTGGAATTGGTAACGTTTCTCACTGAATGTAGTGGACAGTATTAGCAGAGTTATTTCATAGGCAACTAGTAATGGGCCTCTATCAAACAATTTATTTTGTTCATAACAAAGTATCAGCAGAAACTAAGCAAAATGATTGTTTAATCGTGGTTTGAAATAATATAAAAATTGAACTGTATATAAATGAATATTTAAAGATTAAATTTTAAACGTGGAATTAATAAAGTGCAACAATTGAATTAATTGGTTAATTTAATCTATAAGATATATAAAAAATACATAACTCTACAAGGAATGTTTCTTGTTTTGACAACAACAAACATCCCAAACCACGTGTGCGCCCGACTACACCGGCTGGCGAGGAAGGTATGTTGAGTCCATTGCAAGTTGTAAACCAATCAGAATGCTGGGATATTACATCATTGTTTGGGATATGTTATGGGATATATTTACTCCGCGAAATCTTTGTAAACACTAGAAGTGTGACGATGTTCTCTGGCGATTATTACTGAAGTTTCGAAGTTGGAAGGCGTACCAGTTTTTTTTTTTTTTTTTTAATAATTCTCAATAAAAACAACCATTGAACAAGAAAATGAAACTATAGATAGTTATATGTAAGTATAAGATACTTTGCTGAAGTTGTACAGGCCTAGGCCTAATGTTCTAGGCTACATTATAACCTAAATAAGAAGTGTCGCCGGTAGACTGTATGATGCCAATTTTTCGGGCTTAAAACAAAGCCTAAATGTCCTTTGACAAGTGGGGAGCTGGAATCTCAGCACTCCCGAAATGTTGGTGAAAACTCTGGAACTCTGTTTAGGTTGAAATTATTATGTGTAAATTGATTTAGAGTTATCTCATAAAGAAAAAATTCCATCCACGCATATTAAAAATAAGTCTGCCAATTTCCGCCCAAATGTTGCAGTGAAGTCGGCCGGTGGCTATTGTAACCAATGTATAGGCATTCGCAGTTTTAATGCGATTCTGCGGACCTATTTTCTCGAAATTTCCTGCACAAATGAAAAAATTTTCAGCCACAAAAAAAATTAATTTTACGTGGAAATATGAGGATATAATAACCAAAACTGGTACAGTATGTATATTGAATATATATTTATATTATAGGAAAGTGTCAGATTTGTTACTTTTTGAAAAAAAGTGTATTTTTAGACAATTCTATTCATCAGTGTTGACGGCGGCGCCTTCCCGTTCAAGGGTATCATATTACAAAAATAACGATCATATTTCATATTTTTAATTACTCTAATCATTCAAGTTAATTAAAAAAGCACCAAGAAACATTTTTTTTATAAAAATTTTTTGATATTTTCTCGAATATTTAATGAAAATACATGCACACATTACTGCACATACGTTTTTTTTAAAATTATTGTTAATTAATTAATTACTGACGATAATTAGAGAGCGCTTAAAGCGCTTATGGGACTGAAAGGGTTAAGGGTTGGTTTGCCATCGGTAACTTCCAGACACCCAGCTTTGTCTCCCAATATGGCCTCTGTTTCATTTTCCTTATGTTTGTAGGGACATTTGATTTCAACAACTCCAGACCCACAACATCTGCATGATACAAGAGCATCAGGTGAGGCTGCAATGAACAAGTGCTCTTGGCTTATCCAAAGTCCAGTCTTAGAAATGGAGCTGTCCATGTGGTGGTTTTGGACGAAATTTTCATAATGTTTGGCTGCAGTGTCCCCATGTTTCCTGCCCCACTGAATAGCAGGAATAGAAGCTAAATTTCCCATTGGGCTGCAAATACCCTGTAAAACAGATTTCGCTGGATTTTCTGTGTTGGTATGGAGTACACTATGCACCTTGGAGGCAGTTATTCTTCCAAGTCGCATCTCATGCCAAATTGGCGAGTCTCCCTGTGCAGCGGTCCTATCAATAAATTGTTTTATTTGTTCATTTGTTACATCCAATTTGGATACTGCTTCCTTTTTAGCATTTTCCAAATGCTCAGCATTGTCCGGTTTAAACAGAGTCTGCAGATTTATTGGCATGGCAACTGGCTGATTGACGGGACATGTCACCACAAAGTCATCACAATATTTATCATTTGAAGCTACACTAAGCAACAGATTTTGGGTTTTTTTGTTTTAGTTCACGCAAAAAGCTGGCTTGCTGAGAAGGAGTTTCTGCATCGGATTCTTTGCGCTGTCTTTTTACTGTCTTCAGTTTTTCTTTAGTTTTAGTAGTATAAAACTGAATTTGATGGACAGGTGCTGGTTCCACTTTTTTGGTAAAACACTCATTCCACTTGCATGGTTCTTCAGTGCAAAGCCTTGATGTATAGCCCAACTGAACTGCGGCTTCCACTTTGAATAGCAGGGCTGCAACATGAGAACATGATTCTCCTAATCTATAATAATAAAAAAAGAACATGTATTAATGTTTTAGAAACATATTCATTCATGCAGCTGCTGTAGTAAATAAAAACCAACTTAAAATCAATAAAGTTTTCTTTAGAGTAGATATGCAAACATGCCAACCCAACCAAGGCCAACAAGAGGAGTCTCAAAAGCTTTCAAGAGGAGTTTTGGCAATGTGAGTGGAGTATGTTGAATTGCTATTTCACAAATATTTTTTATTAATAATATAATAATAATTAATTAATTGATTTAATTCTAATTCTTATAAAAAAAAAAAAACAATTTTTCAACCTCCTCTGAAAACGGAGTGGTTGGCATGTATGAATTATGATTTGTAGAAAATCACAATCATATACAGTATTTTGAAAATTTGCAGCTGTCTTAATGTTAAAATTCTGTCATAGTCTGGTAACAAATTTATTCTAAAAAATTATTTATTCTAAACATTTAAAATAAGAAGAATAACACAAAACTTTCATTTGAGCCTTGATACTGTAATTATAAATTAAATCAATCAATTTCACATGAAAATAATATAATACATTAGTCATAATATCCTTACCCTGCCATACAATCACAGTGGGCTGTATTTATGCTTCCATCTTTCTTTACGATAACCCATGGATGATGGGGCTGGTCATTTAACCTCTGGGATGGCTTGACATCAGCTTTAAACACAAAAACCGAACCACTTTGTGACAGCATGTAGTTGACAGTATTCACCCAACCAGACACAAAGTAGTTATGAGCTTGTAATGACCGGTAGTTCTTCATCGATTCCTTTGTGAAAACACCTACAAATTACAAAAACAAAATATATGAAGAAAGAATAAATTGTTGATACTCCTATTTTGTTGATCCAAAACCTACTGCTATTCAGAAGGATATTATTTCTGTTGGCACTAGCAAAACATTAGCTGAAATACTCAAGAAAATATACTCAAGTCAAGAAAAGAAATCTAACCTTTATCTCTAGCCCTAGGAAATCGTACTCTAAGTAGGTCCGGCCTCTAGCCTGCCTGGCCTATGCCTTCGTTCATCCCCTTTTGTTGGGCTTTTTAATCTGCCTTTTGTATTCAGTGTCAAACAATGTCTGTGCTAACCAGCTTGTGTATTTTCACTATTAAAATAAATCCCAATTATCATTGTTTGGAAGAAAATAATTATATATACCATACCTGGTGTTTCAACTAGGTAGGAATAATGTCAGGGTATTGTACATCAGGCCATTTTGTTGGATCGTTAATCCAACGCCCGGCTTCTTTTTTGTAAGGGCATTTCTCCAAGCCTGCTGCTAGTAACTTCGCCAAATATCGGTCGCGAGCGACGTTATCTAACCTTTCTGTATACCCGTAAGCCATTCTGGAATAGATACAATTAAAATATCGAACTCCACAATCACTCACACTGGAGTGAAAACAGGTTGTGTGTGGAGTGTGTTTTACATACGCTGTATGTAAAACACACTCCACACACAACCTGTTTTTGTAAAACACACTCCACACACAACCTGTTTTCACTCCAGCGGGCGTCGAGTAGTGACGTATAAACTGAAAATGACGTATGGCCGACCAACAGAATAATTGTTTTCTTTTTTTGAAATTGAGTAATTTATGATAAACAGAAATACAAATACAATATACGGTATGTATTGATATCATTTATATCGTGTGTGAATGTTATTTGATTGTTTTCTTATTGCGTGTTTAAAATCTCTCGCCCCATTCCCATGCAAGATATTGATTCCCACGATCAACTACAGTACCATATCCTTTCTGATGTTTGCACGCTCTTCAGTCAGCCAGGACTGCGTTTTACCATGTGAATATGCAGCATATGTTTTTTTAAACCTGTTTACTGCAGATCTTAATAAATTCGAAAGCTAACTTGCCACTTCTAAAATATTTTGTGGGGATACATCAAAAACCAATTCAAATTTGCACAAAAGTCTCTAGAAAAATAGGTGCACGTTTCCTTCCTTCTCCATGTGTCGATTGTACATTGGCACCATCTAAGACATTTTTAAGCCAAGATTTTGCTAAGATTGGGTAATAAATCAGCTTAAGATATTTATTAGGGACATCCTAACTTTTTGACTTAAAACATTTGCTAAGCTGGGATTGATAAATCCCGGGCCTGGTTTGTATGTTACTTTAAGGTCGTATGGCTGCAACCTTAGTAACATGCCTTGCAGTCTCATCGGTGCTGCTAGTATTGGCTTTGCGTATAGTGCTTGAAGTGGCTTGTGGTCACTCTCTACCGTTACTTGTTTACCAAATATGTAGTGATGAAATTTCTTACAACAGTGGACTATCGCCAACATCTCTTTCTCGATTTGAGCATATCTCATTTCAGGCAGAGATCCCAAGTTTGAAAACCAAAAAATCAGGAGATTTTTTTCGTGACGCGATCGCCTCCTGTAGCGACGCGCTGTGGAACATGAAAGTATTACACAAAATGAAGAAAACAAACAATTTTCATCAATTTGTTTACTTTTATTTATCAATTTTACATTTGTTTACACATTGCAGTTTGGCCTAAAATATAAATTTATAAATATTATTATTTATTTAGAATTTTGCTAGTAAAGCATTCTTGACAGCAGTCAACAAGGCTTTGCTTTGTTCATTGGCATATTAGAGGATATGGCTGATTTACTATATCTCTTCAAAGAACATAGAATTCTAGCAAGGTAACTGCAACTTGCAAGATCCACACGTTTGCTGAAAAATTAGAAAACATATATATATTTTAATTTAGTTAGTAAATCATAGTACATGTTTTAAGTCAGCATTTATATATGTCTAGCCTATAATAATTGGTACATAATGCCATGAAAAAACATTAAATCCTGCCTCGCTAGGCTCCATCTGTCCGTGCGTAACTAGGCCTAAGGCCGCAGAGTCACGACCACCACTACACACAGACACCCACTCAACACAACACACATACCCTGCAGTGCAGATAGAGCCTAGGCCTACATGTATTTCGGGATTTATATTAAAATAAACTTTTTTCGGAAGACTACTTAGTACCAAAACCTACTAACTATGATTTTTTTAGTATTGTTATTAAAGAACTGAAGCTTACTTGAAAGAAAAAGTGTTTTTTTTATGCACCGATTCTACAAAGTTCCACATCTTCGCGGTGAAAAACTTCGGGCATCCATTCTCATGTGATTTCTAATTTCGTTAATTTGGTGAAATTTATTTACTCAACTGACAACCATCTCATTGATTGAGGTCGGCGCGGATGAAAAAGATTGTAACATGGAGGATAAACGAGACGATTCTACCACGGATCTAGGCCTGCCTTGGCATGGAGCTGTTATTTTGATAAACAACTTAAATAACAACTTCCTGGTCTTGTTTACGACATTTTAAGTCTGAGCGAGCGCCATAATTGGCTTAAGATAAGAAATTTTGTTTTATTGCTCTATGACATCGTGGAAATCACATTTTTCGTGAAATTTTCGGGATATTTAATAAAATCGGGAGATTATTAATAAAAATCGGGAGGGCGGGAGACGGCCTAAAAAATCGGGAGAAACCCGCGATTTTTGGGAGACTTGGGATCTCTGCAGTTGGAGTTAGTGCTCTTGATGTGTAAGCAATGGGTCGTCCTTCTTGTAGTAGAACTCCTCCTAGTGCATAACTGCTAACATCACACTGTATGGTTACTTCTTTTTGTTCATCAAAGTAGGCAAGTACTGGGGTACTGCTACACATGTTCACTAATTTTTCAAAACTCTGCTCTTGAGGCTTATCCCAGTGAAAGTCGATATGTTTACTAGTAACTTCTCGCAATGGTGCATCAACTTCACTTATATTTGGCATGAACTTTGCCAACAGGGCTAGAAATTTACTTTTTCAGCCACTAGCAACCTATTGATAAAATGTGCTAGTTGTTAAAAATGTAACTAGCAAAATGAGCTGCTCATCTCAACTAGTAAAATATATTGATACCAACTCAACATATTATTTTCGGAAAATAAATTGTATGAAAATAACTAATGATGTACTTCTATAAATTTGTGTGTTAAATGTTTTAATATAATATTTTCTCTATGGTGAGTGTAGTACAATAAATATCACAAAGAAATAGCCAAATGAGTATAAGAAATTGATTTCTATAGCTTGTACATTTATTCACTTCAGTGTCAGAACATTTTTAATATGCATGCTGTTACCATTCCCTTTACCATAATACCCGTTTCAGCAATAGCTCTGATGAGTTTTTTTTTTTTGCCAGACTAGCCTAGGCCTAGCTAGCATAGGCAGGCTTAGCTAGGGGCAAGGCCTAGAGATTTCAGAAACTGCATTGGTAGCAAGCCAAATCTTTGATAGAAAAAGGCCTTAACAGAAACTCAATTTTACATAAAAGATTTGTTTATACAATATTTATTTTGATAAGCTTTGGTCTTTTAAAGCATGGGCTAGACGTTCCGTAGGCGGCCGCTGGTGCAGCAGTAGGCCTAGGCCTAGCCTAGGTTAGGAGGTCTACTAGGCCTAGCCAGAATATGGTCTAGTAGGCTGGCCTAAAACATCTGCCAATTGAAGCCTAGGTTGTAACCTATTATTTGTCTTGGCTTCATAGTAAATTATTATTATCATATCTGAAACATTGTTTATTATCTAAAAAGAACCAAATTAAATATGTTTGCCTTTACCGATCGCATCGCCCGTGACTTTCGTCAACAAACACATGTCATGCTGTTACCATTCCCATACCTACCAAGTCTCCCGCATTTGGCGGGAGACTCCCGCCTTTCGCCCTAACCTCCAGCTCTCCCGCCACTAGCCTAAAATCTCCAGCTTTTCTAATAATCTCAAGATTTCTTATAAAACCCACAATTTAATACAAAAATATCCAAAACGTGACAATTCTGTAGTTTTATAACCTCTTCAACTGTTGGGATCGGGTAATGTTCTCTTCTGATTGCCCTATTGAGGTCTTTAGGGTCGGAGCATATTCTTAACTTGTTGCCTTTCACTACAACTACCATGGAACTGACCCAATCAGTAGGTTCTGATATTTTTGTGATATGACCATTTCGTTCCATTTCAGCTAACTTTTCAACTTTCAACCGCTTCTTTAATGCCAGTGGCTGTCTCCTTGGGCCATGTACTACTGGTTTCACTGTGGGGTCGATCTTCAGTGAATATGTGCCTGGGAGTGTCTTTTACAACTGCGGGTAGTCGTTAATGCTGTGGATGCGCTGAATCAATTGCAATTGCTTGCTTGCCGCTCCCGATAGCAATGGTGGTTTATCAGTGTTCACAACATAATACAACACATCGATGGTACGATTCTTGTATGTAGTCTGCAAGATTATGCGGCCTTTTACTTCTAATGCATGACTGGTATACGACTGAAGTTTTTGCTTTGTTGGTTTCATTTTCTGGTAACAGCTTTGATTTTTAAGCCAACTGTATGGCAAGATACTTGTTACTGCTCCTGTGTCTATCTGCATGTACTGTACACTGGTTTTCCTTCTACTTTTACTGTTTCATACCATTCACTACTGGTTGCATTTCCAATAGCGTGAACAAAGTGTGAATAATCAATCTCTGAATTACTTTCATACTTTCTTGGGATGTCTCATAGTTTTGGCCTATAGATACAGCTTTGTCTAATGTTAGTTCATCGCCAAGATCTAGACACTTTTCTCTCACCTTAGAATTCAGAGCATTGCATACTATGGCATCTCTCAACATACGATCTTCATCCGTGTAGTTACAGTCCTTTACTAACACCTTTAGGTCTGTTACAAAGTCATCAAACCGTTCTGTTTCTTTTTGTTTCCTACGGGGAAAGTTGACAGTTGCTCTTATAGTGTTTTTCACTACACGCCATTCAAGGTATCATTTTTGGCCGGGTTATCACCCTCTGCTGGAGCCCAAGTGAACGTGCCGTATTGTAGACCTCACTTCCCTTCCCTTGTCTCCAATGTAGGTCATCATGTAATTAACTTTCTCTACAATTTCCGGCTTGGCCACTAGCGGGCTTTGAAACGTGAACTCGCAGTGCTGCTTGAACGGTTTCCATTCCTTATGTAGGTCAGTTGCTAAGCAGTTCATACAAGGCTTATTTTCCTTTGACATTATTATTTACTGGTTCGT